ACCAGTACCGGCAGCTCCAGCAGCTCCAGTGCCTCCAGCAGCTCCAGTACCTCCAGCAGCTCCCGTACCTCCAGCAGCTCCAGAAGCTCCAGTCCCAGAGTCGACACCCCCAGTCCCAGGGTCTCCAACCTCTGTGTCTCCAGCAGCAGCACCCCCAGACCCAGCACCTCCAGTCCCAGGGTCTCCAGCCTCAGTGTCTCCAGCAGCAGCACCCCCAGAACCAGCACCTCCAGTCCTAGGGTCTCCAGCCTCAGTGTCTCCAGCACGAGCACCTCCAGAACCAGCGACTCCAGCACCTCCAGTAGACAAAGGACCAGCACCACTCCTAGCTCCAGCAGCGCGACGCTGACGGCGACCGTACCAGTCCTGCAGCTGCTGTGGGGTGAGAGGCACACGTGGACGAAGGCGGCTACTCCAAGGAGACCGCGCAACAGCAGACTCAGAACCCTCAGCGCCCGCACCCCCAACGGCTCCAGAACCTCCGGTGTCAGTACCCTCAGCACCAGTACCTCCAGCGGCTCCAGAACCTCCAGCACGAGCACCCTCAGCAGCTCCAGATTCTCCAGCTCCAGCGCCACCAGTACTAGGCCCTCCAGCAGCTCCCGAACCTCCAGCGCCAGCACCCTCAGTAGCTCCAGAACCTCCAGCGTCAGTACCGCCAAGCTCAGCACCCCCAGACCCCTCACACTCAGGCTCAGCACCACCAGGCTCCACACCTTTAAGCTCCGCACCCTCAGGCTCAGCACCCCCAGGCTCCACACCCTCAAGCTCCGCACCCTCAGGCTCAGCACCCCCAGGCTCAGCACCCCCAGGCTCCGCACCCCCAGGCTCAGCACCCCTAGAAGTAGCACCCCGAGAAGGACCACCCTCAGTAGGACCTGAGTCACCAGTGACCTCAACCGGCGCAGTCAAGGGAGGAGGGTCTACCTGAGAAACACCTGAAGGAGCAGGACCAGGAGTGGGGAGGGGGTCTACCTGGGGAGCACCTGGAGCGAGGAAGAGCGGCGGGGGGGGGAGCGGGGCAGTGCGGTAGGGGAAGAGACGGTAAAAGGGAACCGACTTGTCGAACGTGACGTCCTGAGACGCAAAGACACGGCGCGAGGTGGGATGGTAAAACTGCCAACCAGACGCGTCAGGGACAAAGCCAAGGAAGACACAGGGAACAGCGCGGGCGGAGAGCTTGTCCGCGGTGGTATCGCGGACAAAGGCACGAGCACCCCAGACCCGGAAACGCGACGCATCACCAACCTTCCCCGTCCACAGCAGTGTGGGCGAGGTCTCCGGCAAGGAGACACGGGGCCAGAGGTTGAGCTGATGCGCGGCGTACCGGACCGCAAACGGCCACAGGAAATGGGGGGCAGCCGCATGGATCATGGAGGTACGAGCGACCTCCATGACTAAGCCAATGCGACGCTCAGCAACCCCATTCTGCTGTGGAGAGGCCGGAAGCGTGAACGACTGGGTGATGCCGTGCTCCGCACAGTAGGCTGCCAAGAGGTCAGAGGAGAACTCACCACCTCTGTCAGAGTGCAGACGCAGGACAGGAAAGTCCCGCCAGAACCGCTCGCGGAGCTGGAGACGAACAGCGCGGATCCAAGGGATCAAAACATCAGGGACGTCCCCCTTGCTCTGCAAGGGGAAGACCGTGGTGTAACGCGTGTAGTCGTCGACAACCAGCAGGAAGTACCGCTCGCGGCCCTGTCCCTGGACGCGGGCTGGGCCCCACACGTCCAGGTGGAGCGTCTGCAGTGGAGCCTCTGTGGGAGGAAACGAGGAGGAGTGAGGAGCGGCGCGCTGCCGCCCCTCGACGCAAGGAATGCAGGGCAGCGCAGGCGAGGGAGGGAGGGCAGGCAGAGACCTAGGAAGACCAGAGACCAGGGAGCGAGAGTGCATGCTACGCAGGCGAGGCAAGGAGGGGTGACCAAGACGGTGGTGCCACAGGAGAGTGTCGTGCGACAAAGCGCGACACTCGCAGGGGGCCGCCAGCTGACCAGACGTAGACGCAGACGCAGCTACCTGAGGGGACTCAGTGGTCAGTGTGTACAGACTCGAGCCAGGTGCACGGGTGAACGTGGCCAAGTGCCGGCCCATCCTAGCACACGTATAGTGAGTCACTCGCTGACTCGCAGGAGTGAACTGGTCAACCTCCCGATCCTGGAGGTCAGCTCCACTCACCAAGTTCGTAGAGAACGAGGGGAGGTAAAGACCTGACAGCGAGCCGGACGGGACGGCCGGACACGGCAGAACCGTGGAGTAGTGGGCAAGGACTGGACCCCCGGAGGGGTCCGCCAGGGAGACTGGAACTGGCCGACTAAGCGGCATGAGTGTGGTGCAGTCGCGAAAGAAGGAGCGAGAAGCTCCTGAGTCAAGGGTGAAGGTGTGCGAGACCGTAGTTGGCGCAGTACCAGAGAGAGCAGACTCACCAGCACCTGAAGCCACGGCCTCACCAGTACCTAGAGCAGTAGACGTACTAGCACCGAGAGCAGCAGCCTCACCAGCACCTAGAGCAGGAGACGCACTAGCACCTAGAGCAGCAGCCTCACCAGGGTCAGGCGGTACGCACAGATAACAGGCACGATCAGCACTAGTAGGCAATGCATACATGGCAGTGAGAATAGCATCATAGTCAAGCGCAAAGATATCTACCCTCTGTCCATGCAGCTCCAGCCAGGTGGGGAGCTCAGCCTCGTCGCCAAACACTGTGCGCCAGTCGTCGCTCAGACGGGCGAAGCAGCGGGACTGTGTGTGACCAAGCGTCCCACAAGGCTGACCAGTCCTAGCACCTGTGCGAATGACGTACGGGCAGCGAACTGTACGCGTAGACCTGCTACACTGAGCGTACCACTCCTGGAGCTGCCGAGGCGTAAGTGTCTCACGTGGACGCCCCTGCAGCTGCAGCTGGCCACTGCCAGACGCTCCCAACTGACCAGCTCCAGGGCGACAGCTACGACGGCTACTGCGACAACCCCAGCTAGTATACCACTCACTAAGCTGCTGGGGCGTCAGAGGCTCGCGTGAACGTCGCTGGAGCTGCATCTGGCCACCTGCCAGTAGCAGTAGCAGCAGCAGTAGCGCGGGCAAGGCAGGCGCGGCAGGCAGGCAGGCAGGAAGGCAGGCAGGCAGGCAGGCAGGCCGGCAGGCAGGCAGGCAGGCAGGCAGGCAGGCAGACAGGCAGGCAGGCAGGCAGGCAAGCAGACAGACAGGCAGGCCGGCAGGCAGGCAGGCAGGCCGGCAGGCAGGCAGGCAGTCGCGCAGGCAGGCAGGCAGGCAGGCCGGCAGGCAGGCAGGCAGCCAGGCCGGCAGGCAGGCAGGCAGACAGGCAGGCCGTCAGGCAGGCAGGCAGGCGCTCACCAAAGGCTGGGAGAGCAGGCGCTCACCGGGCGAGCAGGGCCGGCGCTCGACGGGCGGCGGCCGAGTAGGCGCACGACAGCGGCGGCGTCGGGGCCGCAAAACCGGCTGCAGAGCAGGGCCGAAGCAGCTGCAGGGCGGGGCCGCTTCAGCGGCAGTAGCAGGGTGGGGCCGCGTCAGCGGCAGGTCGGGGCCGTGGCAGCTGCAGGGCGGGGCCGCATCAGCGGCAGGTCGGGGCCGTGGTAGCTGCAGGGCGGGTCCGCATCAGCGGCAGGTCGTGGCCGAGGCAGAGGGCCGCGCGCGGCTCGGCGCGGGCTGCGCTGACAGCGCGCTGAGCTGCTGCAGGCCGCGCGCGGCCGCGCTAGGCAGTAGCGGGCCGCGCGCGGCTCGGCGCGGGCTGTTGCGGGCCGCGCGCGGGCCGCGCGAGGCAGTAGCAGGCCGCGCGCGGCTCGGCGCGGGCTGCTGCGGGCCGCGCGCGGGCCTCGCGAGGCCGTAGCAGGCCGCGCGCGGCTCGACGCGGGCTGCGTGGGCTCGGCGCGGGCTGCGCGCGGCAGCTGCGGGCTGCGCGCGGCTGCAGCGGGCTGTGCGCGGCTCGGTGCGGGCTGCGCGCGGCTGCAGCGGGCTGTGCGCGGCTCGGCGCGGGCTGCGTGGGCTCTGTGCGGGCTGCGCGCGGCTCGGCGCGGGCTGCGCGGGCTCTGTGCGGGCTGCGCGCGGCTGCAGCGGGCTGCGCGGGCCTTACGGGCCTCTAGGGGCGGCGCGTGGGCCTTACGGGCCTCTAGGGGCAGCGCGCTGGCCTAGGGCAGCAGGAGGCAGCGCTAGGGCTGCTGGACGGCGCACATAGTGCAGCACGTCACAAGGCAAGGCAAGGCAGGCAGGTACGTGGGGTAGCGCGGTAACCGCAGCGGTAGGTGGGCCCGAAAAAAAAACGGTCCTACGGACCTTAGTGCTCTGATACCATGTCAGAATCTAGCAGCAGGAATGGATGAACTAGCAGCATGCAGGAGTACAAGTAGTAAACCCTAATTGGGCTGTACCCCATATGGGCTACCCCACTACAGCCTAGACAATATGCAGCATATATGTTTGACACTTACACCCTGCTGAACCTGCAAAATCCCCATGCTTGTTGTCGTCTCTCTCTCTGCCCCGTGTATGATGTAGTCATACACGGTTCAATACTGGTTATTTTGGTTACAAACCTGGATGTAATCTACAACATCATGTTCTCAGCAAATTATGCTGTTGTGCCTCATTGCATCCTATTTTTGGTTGGGCTTGTAGCACTCGGGGGTCCTTTGTTATCGGAATAATCTAGGCTGGTATCTACGCAACCCCTCGCTGGTATTGGCACGCCTCACAGCGTGATCCAGATTCTAGTCATCACGCTGTAAGACGCTCCTTGCGTCCGCTCCTCGTCGTACCATTCGAGTTGTCGCCATGATTTACACGACCATTGACTCGTTCTATCTGACCAAGGACCAGATAGATGACTCGCCTTCGCGCAAGGAAGGAGTGGATAAGGAAACGGAGTATGTCCTCCGTGTATACGGCTGCGAGCTTATTCAGGAGTCCGGAATCCTCTTGAAATTGTGAGCTCGCTCGCCCGACGATAGTCAATGTTGCTTCCCTTTTCGTTCGTTCATCCTTAGCTTATGCTAGCATTTGATTCGCAGGCCTCAGGCTGCCACGGCCACTGGACAAGTCCTCCTCCGTCGATTGACTTTGATTACGTAGCCAGCTTCCGCTGCTTGTTCTTTCGCCCTGACTTCATCTGCGGCTTGCATTCCTCTGCAGGCCTCAGGCTGTAATGGCCACTGGACAAGTCCTCCTTCATAGATTCTATTGCAAGAAGTCGCTGACGCGGTTCAATGTCAAGGTAAGGATTTTCACCTTACCGGCATCCATAATGCCATTTCGGCTGCCTAGAATGATAACCCTAGCCGTTTTGCCACGTCGAAGCCTGTCGTGTACATGATTGGCTAATGCAGATGGCTTTTCATGATTCGCGCAGGGTGTTGCTGCGAGCTGCGTGTGGCTCGCGTCGAAGCTGGAGGAGAATCCTCGGCGGATTCGTGACGTGCTGAACGTATTCCACAGGATTAACTTAAGGCGTGATAACCTCCCGTTGGCTCCCCTGGAGCAGTTCTCAAAGGTGCGCTTCTACCTCACAAACCCACTCATGCCTCCGGTTCCCCCAACCCCCCCCCTTTTCCCTCCCTCGCTTGCTCGCCCACTCGCCTCCCTCCTTTCTTGCTCCCTCACTTCCCTATCCCCTGTCAATGGAGCTGTATGTTATGTACCCTGTTTACTGTGCCTAGGCTAATAGAATTACACTTACTGTACTCCTTCAGAACTATGAGGACTTGCGCACGGAGCTGATTCGAACGGAAAGGCACATATTGAAGGAGATGGGGTTCATCTGCCACGTGGAGCATCCCCACAAGTTCATTTTCAACTACCTGCGACAGCTGGACGTGCTCGATGACGCTGTGAAGCACGAGGCCTGGAACCTCGCCAATGACAGGTGCACCTTCGCTCTTAACGCATCATGACATTGATTAATGGGCACTCAGGGTTTTGGTCTGTTTCTCACCAGCTGCTATTGATCGTGCAGTTTGCGGACAGTCCTGTGTGTGCGGTTCAAGAGCGAGGTGGTGGCATGCGGGGTGATCTATGCAGCAACAAGGCGGGCGCGCATCCCGCTTCCAGAGAACCCGCCCTGGTGGCTGGCGTTCGACGCCTCCAAGGAGGGCATTGACGAGGTGTGCAGGGCGCTGGCGGATCTGTACAGGCGGCCCAAGGCGCAGTACATTGAGGCCGCCAAGGGCAAGGACGCCAAGCCGTTTGTGCTCACAACCAGAGGATGGGAACCACCTCCTGATCCCCAAGTAGAAGCCACTAGTCGTTCTGCCCTCCCCTCCTTCGTCCATGTCTGCATTTTTGGCACACTCTCTCGCTTTCTCTGTCATGATCCTTTTTGTCAAATTTCTATGTCTGTGTTCTGACTTGTGCATTTGACATTCTTCTCATGCGCAGGAGCTTCCTGGAGTATTGAAGCATTCTGCACCTGTTTCCGCTCCTACCCCACCACCTGCGGATTCAGTACCAGCCCCAATGGATACTGATGCTGCTGCTGTTCCTGCTCCTGCCCCTGCCCCTGCCGCTACCTCTGCTCCTGCCCCTGCTCCTGCTCCTGCTCCTGGTGTGGACAAACCGGCCACAGCTGTTGTTGAGCCCGGCTCCCCTGCCACAAGAAAGCCAAGCTCTGCAGATGATCCAGCAGCAGAGGCGGTCAAAAGCCATGAGTCTCCACGGAAAGTGGTCAAGCGATCCTCTAGCCCTGATAGTGACCGTGGTGTGCAGGGCCAGCCTGCAAAGAGGAAGAGAGATGTGAGAGACACAGAAGGTGGTGGGGAACCAGAGCGCGCAGAAAGGGAGGATTCTGAATCGGACGGGGAGAAAACGTTGGTGAGCAAGAGAAGGGACAAAGAGCTAGCTCTGAAAGAGATGAAGCTGAGGGAGCAGCTAAAGCGAGATCTGGAGAAGAAAAAGGGAGCGCTGCGCACGGGGTATGGGAAGGCGGGAATGGACGGTAAGGAGAAGGAGCGGCAGCAGGATGTGGAGGGTGGGAGGGAGAAAGAGAGGGACAGGGAGCGGGATCGGGAGTGGGCTCGGGAGCGTGAGAGGGAGCGGGAGCGGAGGGAGCGAGAGCGTGCGAATCGGGATGTTGAGCGTGAGAGGGACAGGAAGGATGGGAGCAGAGACAAGAGGGATGACCGGGGTGGTGATGGGGAGCGCAAGGATCGGGATAGGAGAGATAGGGACCGGGATGGTGACAGAGATAGGGATGGTGATCGTGACGTGGAGCGCGATCGATCGTTTCGAGATGAAGGCCGGCGTGACCGTGAACCTTACAGTGGGTAAATAGTTTTGATTTCGTCTTGTGAAACGCTTGAGGTTCTGACCACGGTGGTTGTTGTTTGCTGCTTCTAGCTCTTGGTTGCTCCTTCTAGCTCTTGTTGCCCGTGGAAATAATCTCATGAGTTGCAACTTCTCTGCAGGTGGTCGCGGCGGTGGGCGTGGTCGGCAACCTGTCCCACGAGGTGAGTGGTGTTTTTTTCTCCTGCTTGGTCTTGATCTTGTTTGGAGATGCTCGCTTAATTTCCGGCTTGTTTTTCGTGGATGGCAGAGAGGGATTTCACCACATCCAAGGACAAGCACCGCAGGCGATAACTGGTGATGGTGCTGAAAATGTTTTGTTGGCCCATTGTAATGCGGTGCTCGTCAAACTGTGACGCTGCTGCCATGTCCAGTGTCCTAGCACGCACCATTGGCCGATGTCAACATCAATTATTGTGTGGTCAATGCTCCATTTCTTGGTCTTGTTCACTCAACATATGAATGTTCTCACTTCACCAGCCAGCACCTTATCTTTCGCCATTTACCACTCGCTGTTGCGTGCTTGCACCGCACACACGCACATCAAACTGACAGAAGCTCGCTACAACATACAACGCCGAGGTAAGGCCGTATGATTCGAATGTAGTGTGAGTCTCAATGGCACCTTTGCATCGCCATAGACGCCCCATGCTGTTAGAATCTAGCAGCAGGAATGAATGAACTAGCAGGATGCAGGAGTACAAGTAGTAAACCCTAATTTGGTTGTACCCCATATGGGCTACCCCACTACAGCCTAGACAATATGCAGCACATACAGTTTGACACACCCCCATAGGCAAAGTGGGGGAGAACAAGGGGTCACACGACCAGTCAAGAGAAGCAAAACAAGCTCAAGGTGGATCACAACGTCACCACGCATTCTGAGCACAAGCAAAGGGCCACAAGGCCAGTTCACATGCAGAGATATATATGCAGCAATAACAGTACAGTGATGGCTACCTAGCAAGAGCCAGCATGCAGGTATATATATAGATCACAGTACAAGCAGAGACTACAGCAAGTGTGGAAACGTAGGCACAAGGCCCAACAGAGTACAAAAGCGCTGATGATCACCAGACGGAAGTGCCTTGGTGAATATATCAGCAGTGTTGGCCCGAGTGGCCACGTGGCGAAGACGAAGCTGGCCTCGCTGCTGCAACTCTCGAGCCAGGAAGTAACGCAGAGCAATGTGCTTCGTTCTGTGCTCCAGTCTGTGCTCCTCACACAAGGCAATGACGGCCTTGTTGTCGACGTACAGCACTGGAGGAGAACGAGGCTGCTCTCCCAAGTCAGTCAGCAGGTAGGTGAGCCAGCGTAACTCCTGTGCAGCCATGGCGGTGGCGTAGATCTCAGCCTCACAACTGGAGCTGAGAACTGAAGACGAGCGTGTAGAACGCCACGAAACTGAACCAGAGCCAAGGCTGAAGGTGTAACCCTGTGACGACCGCTGAGTAGCCAGGTCGTCAACCCAAGAAGCGTCTGAGTGCCCAGTGAGGACAACTGGGCTCGTCCCTCCAAGCACTAGCCCCATGCCTGATGTGCTGCACAAGTAGCGCAGTACCCTCTTAGCAGCAGCCATGTGCTCAGGTCGGTGCCGACCAGGAGCCACGTAGCGAGCCAGGAGACCAAGAGGGTACGCGAGGTCAGGTCGAGTGCAAGTCATCAGGTACATGAGGCAGCCGACTAGCTCTGGGTAAGGACCACTCGGCTCTACGGACTCGTCCGAAGGTGGAGCAGAGAGCGTGTGACCTGTAGCCAGAGGAGTGGCCTGTGCTGAAGACCAGGTGAAGCCGAAGCGCTGAAGGACCTGCTGCACCATGTGTGACTGAGTCAAGGTGATGGTGCGACGTGCTCTGTCCCGGGTGATCTGCAAGCCAAGGTAGCTGTGCAGCTCACCCAAGTCTGTGCACGTGTGTCTCTTCTGCAGCTCCGACTTCACGTGGGCGAGAGCCTCAGTGTCAGCAGTGGCAAAAACCAAGTCGTCGACGTATACGAGGATGTAGAACGGCGGCAGTGAAGTGTCGGTGCGCAGAAACAGCGACGGGTCAGCAGTAGAAGGCGCGAACCCAAGAGCCGCAAGCGTAGTCCTCAGTGTGTCGTGCCACTCACGTGGCGCCTGGCGGAGACCGTAGACCGGCCGCCGGAGGCTCCACTGGGTGCCAGGAGGGAACGACCCAGTGAAGCCCGGGGGGCGGCGCAGCCAGATCTCCTCGTGCAGGCTGCCCTGCAAGAAAGCTGTGCTGAAGTCAAGAGAGTGAAGCTCGTAGTCACGGTGAGCAGCAACATGCAGCAGCACCCGAAGAGTGGTCATCTTCGGGGTGGGGGAGAAGGTCTGGAAGAAGTCAACTCCCTCTCGCTGACTGAAGCCTCGAGCCACGTAACGCGCCTTGAAGACAGGCGGAGAACCCGGCGGCCGCTTCACCCTGAAAATCCACATGCCACTGACGATGTTCGCCCCAGGTGGGGGAACCTCGTCAACGTAGGTGCCTGTGGACTTCCAGGAAGCCATCTCTGCGTCCATGGCTGCCTGCCACTGAGAGGAGTAGGGACCCTCTATCGCCTCTGCGTAAGAGCGCGGAGTCGGGATGTCTGGTGCATCCGGGTCTCCCTCAGGGGCAAGTAGCGAGGACACAAGATGAGGTAAAGCAGCAGCAAGACACTGGAACTCCTCCTGCCTGTCCTCAAGGACGTCCGTGCTAAGAGCACACTCACCCCCGACGGACGGAGGACAGACAGACTCAGACTCAGTAACAAGACTGGCAGCGTAGTCTAAACGACAGGCAGCAGCAAAGTCAACAAGCTCAGCTACAAGAGCAGACGCAGCAGTAGACTCAAACGACGGGTCAGTGACAACAGTGGCTAGTAGACGCGTGACAGTAGGGTGCTCAGCACGAAACCGGTCAGACGCAGGGTCCGGAATGTCAGGCAAAGAGGACGCAGGAGGAGACGGCAGAGGAACAGGCGGCGGAGCAGAGGAAGGACGACGGACTACGAGGTGTGCGCCGGGGACAGCCGGCTGACGCGAACGAGGAACACGACGACCGGTACGACCAGGACGAACAGGCGAAACAGGACGCGACGCAGGCTCACGACGCTCAGCAGGACTACCAGTCTGCTCAGTGTAAGGAGAAGGAGCAGGCAGCGGTGAGCCAGGCTGTAACGGAAGACCAGTAGACGACGGAAGAGTAAGAACCTGACGAAGAACAGAGGCAGACGGCGGCAGAGACGACGGAGACGGCGGAGCGAAGAACAGTCGTGTCGGCGCAGCTGCACCAGTACCAGCAGCTCCAGCAGCTCCAGTGCCTCCAGCAGCTCCAGTACCTCCAGCAGCTCCAGTACCTCCAGCAGCTCCAGAAGCTCCAGGCCCAGAGCCGACACCTCGAGTCCCAGGGTCTCCAACCTCAGTGTCTCCAGCAGCAGCACCCCCAGAACCAGCACCTCCAGTCCTAGGGTCTCCAGCCTCAGTGTCTCCAGCACGAGCACCTCCAGAACCAGCGACTCCAGCACCTCCAGTAGACAAAGGACCAGCACCACTCCTAGCTCCAGCAGCGCGACGCTGACGGCGACCGTACCAGTCCTGCAGCTGCTGTGGGGTGAGAGGCACACGTGGACGAAGGCGGCTACTCCAAGGAGACCGTGCAACAGCAGACTCAGAACCCTCAGCGCCCGCACCCCCAACGGCTCCAGAACCTCCGGTGTCAGTACCCTCAGCACCAGTACCTCCAGCGGCTCCAGAACCTCCAGCGCGAGCACCCTCAGCAGCTCCAGAACCTCCAGCTCCAGCGCCACCAGTACTAGGCCCTCCAGCAGCTCCCGAACCTCCAGCGCCAGCACCCTCAGTAGCTCCAGAACCTCCAGCGTCAGTACCGCCAAGCTCAGCACCCCCAGACCCCTCACACTCAGGCTCAGCACCACCAGGCTCTACACCCTCAAGCTCCGCACCCTCAGGCTCAGTACCCCCAGGCTCAGCACCCCCAGGCTCCGCACCCCCAGGCTCAGCACCCCGAGCAGGACCACTCTCAGTAGGACCTGAGTCACCAGTGACCTCAACCGGCGCAGTCAAGGGAGGAGGGTCTACCTGAGAAACACCTGAAGGAGCAGGACCGGGAGCGGGGAGGGGGTCTACCTGGGGAGCACCTGGAGCGAGGAAGAGCGGCGGGGGGGGGAGCGAGGCAGTGCGGTAGGGGAAGAGACGGTAAAAGGGAACCGACTCGTCGAACGTGACGTCCTGAGACGCAAAGACACGGCGCGAGGTGGGGTGGTAAAACTGCCAACCAGGCACGTCAGGGACAAAGCCAAGGAAGACACAGGGAACAGCGCGGGCGGAGAGCTTGTCTGCGGTGGTATCGCGGACAAAGGCACGAGCACCCCAGACCCGGAAACGCGACGCATCGCCAACCTTCCCCGTCCACAGCAGTGTGGGCGAGGTCTCCGGCAAGGAGACACGGGGCCAGAGGTTGAGCTGATGCGCGGCGTACCGGACCGCAAACGGCCACAGAAAATGGGGGGCAGCCGCATGGATCACGGAGGTACGAGCGACCTCCATGACTAAGCCAATGCAGCGCTCAGCAACCCCATTCTGCTGCGGAGAGGCCGGAAGCGTGAACGACTGGGTGATGCCGTGCTCCGCACAGTAGGCTGCCAAGAGGTCGGAGGAGAACTCACCACCTCTGTCAGAGTGCAGACGCAGGACAGGAAAGTCCGACCGGAACCGCTCGCGGAGCTGGAGACGAACTGCGCGGATCCAGGGGATCAAAACAGCAGGGACATCCGCCTTGCTCCGCAAGGGGAAGACCGTGGTGTAACGCGTGTAGTCGTCGACAACCAGCAGGAAGTACCGCTCGTGGCCCTGTCCCTGGACGCGGGCTGGGCCCCACACGTCCAGGTGGAGCGTCTGCAGTGGAGCCTCTGTGGGAGGAAACGAGGAGGAGTGAGGAGCGGCGCGCTGCCGCCCCTCGACGCAAGGAATGCAGGGCGGCGCAGGCGAGGGAGGGAGGGCAGGCGAGACCAGAGACCAGGGAGCGAGAGTGCATGCTATGCAGGCGAGGCAAGGAGGGGTGACCAAGGCGGTGGTGCCACAGGAGAGTGTCGTGCGACAAAGCGCGACACTCGCAGGGGGCCGCCAGCTGACCAGACGTAGACGCAGACGCAGCTACCTGAGGGGACTCAGTGGTCAGTGTGTACAGACTCGAGCCAGGTGCACGGGTGAACGTGGCCAAGTGCCGGCCCGTCCTAGCACACGTACAGTGAGTCACTCGCTGACTCGCAGGAGTGAACTGGTCAACCTCCCGATCCTGGAGGTCAGCTCCACTCACCAAGTTCGTAGAGAACGAGGGGAGGTAAAGACCTGACAGGA